AGGATATAAAACGCAAATGACCGAAATACAACTATTAGTAACAATATAGCATTAAAATATATTTATTGTCGCTAATTCCACTCCTACCTATAAGCCTAAACATTTCTGTACAGTATAAGAAAAACATGACAGACAGATAAATGCAATTACAATAATTTATTTATTGCAAAAATGTCAAAAGCAGCACTAAAAGTAATCCAAATGACGATGCGTTGCACCCGCAGTCCTCTCTGGCGGAATACAGTAGGTTTGTGTGATCCAAAGCAGAATTTATGTTGTTAATCGCTGAAAATATTATCCAGATAATTTCCCCCATCCACTCCGTGAACTCGTGAAGGCGCGCGGCGCATCATTCAAACACACCTCACCAGAAACATTATTGGTTAATTGGAGTGCTGATACAGGAACTTCTCATACTTGAATAAATAACAGTGAGTTTAATTCAGTCAAACCATCTAAAAACACAGAGTCATTCTCAGTTTAACAGCTTTAAATTGCTAGTAATTACCTTCTGGTTTTGAAAAGGGTGCAGCCAAAATAACTAACAATATAATGAACAGCGTCAGTTTCAGTGCTGCAGAGGAAAGATGAAACTGCACCACGAAATAACACCCCAAACTTGTGTTACCAACACCCAAGCCTCTTTAAATACTTCAAAACTTAGATCAATTTAATTTGCCTTTGATTTCTTCTACATTATGAAAAAGTGTACAAATATGTGCTTCCACCTCTGTCACTCACATCAGTGTTTCATAACAGGAAAAAAATTATGTCTATCAACTGAATCATTGTCTTATCCTTCCATAATTATTTGCGGTTAGACAGGTCTAAAATCTCGCCTAAAGCAGACAAAGGAGTTCTTTGTTATATAGCAACAAAAAAAAAAAGCTTATGGCAACAAATCACTTGCAACAAGTCATAAATACCTTAATTGCATAAAGTAATGAATGACATGCCTCTAACTGCCAGTTTCTCACACACACCATTTGCACACAGTAAATAAAGGTATTTACCATAGCTGAGAACCACTGGTCTCTGCAGGTTCTGGTTCAGGAGATGGTTCTTTAGTGTAAATGTGATATTAATCACTGGCTTCTGGGCCTCACAGATGCTCTTTATGAAATAAAGTCCATCTTCTGTCTGGCCGTGGATCTCCAGGTGATAAATGAGGTTCTGGTCATGTTCCCCCAGCCAGATCACCTCAGGTTTGGGAAAACCTTCTGTCTCAAACTGCACTTTCAAAGCAGAGGAGTTTACATGGATGCTTAACCTGGGCTCAGAGTAAAGAGCTGAGAAAGACAAACATAATCAGCTGTGCAGTGTTAAAATGTCCATCTTAAAGGGGTTATCGGATGCCCATTTTCCACAAGTTGATTCTTTAGGGTCTTAATGAAATGTCTATAACGTACTTTGGTTAAAATTTCTCAAAGGTAGTGTAAAAAACACCCTTTTTACCCTGTCAAAATCAGCTCTGTTTTCAGCACGCCGTTCTAGTCCGTGTTGCTTTAAATGCTAATGAGCTCTTCTGACCCCGCCCCTCTCTTCCCTGGGGTGACGATTAGACTTTAAACTTCAACCGCGAAACTTGCTAACTAGCACATATTAGGAAAGGCGATTTGCAAAGATTCATAAAAAACACTTATACTCACTTCTTCTGTCGATGAAGCTGGATCATGAATGATTAGTGCGAACTTAAACGCATTTAGGCAGATCGGGGATCAGCGCATTCCTTTCAAAAACTAAAGTAATGTTAATCCTCTGTGTCTTCAGATGTCGGGAGTAAATGACGACTGCTATGTTCATTATTGCATCCAACAACAAAACACCTCAATCGCTTAATTGGAGACATTCTTGTCTTCCCCTGCACCGGAGTCGTCACAATGGCGGACAGCTCTCCGCTCACTCAGGGCGGGTCTTAAGGTAAGATGGACTTGTCAATCAACTATCGTGGGAGCGGCCTGTGCATAACTACGTCATTCTGACAGGAACCTCAGAACAGCTTGATTTGAGAAAGGGGATTTTAAAATAGGGATTTAAAAAAAAAAAAACACTGGGTGGATTTTTATCATAGGGTGGATGTGTACACACACTTCCAACACACATTTATGTTCAAACAACAACAAAAGTGAATTTTGCATCCGATGACCCCTTTAAATAAAATTTTTACATCTAAAGTGCATATCAATTGATCTTATCAATAAAGTAAAGTCTAAATGATCGTATGTTTTACAGTAAAGCCTAACTAGAACACTTTATGTTCACAGGAAATCAAAATTTAAAATGTATTTTTATATTTCAAGGTTTTTCGTGACCGTGAGAAAGCTGAAATATGATATATCCACAGCAAAACCACAGTTGGCATATTTTACAAATTTGTCAGGACACTTAATCCTCAAATAAAAATAAACTTAAAGATAAAGTGAAAAAGGAAGATGAATGGCTATTTGTTTACAATTACCTTTATCTGTATCAAAATGCACTGCGTGTTTCTGATTCAACAAAAAGTACAGACTTGAACTAGCTGCTGTATGTTTCATACGCTTATTTTTTGTGACTGAAAATGAAGCTGGGAGCTCCTGGAAAGCGGAAACATTGTACATCATATTCTCTCCAGTGTTCATCATATGCTTACCTCCATAGGTCACTTGCATCACGGCACGTCCTGTTCCCTTTGTATTGCTCACTATGCACAGGTACCAACCTGCATCTTTCGGTCTAACTGCTGTAATTCTTAGAGAGGCATTTCCTTTATGAATCTCTGAAACATACAATGAGGTCCGATTGTGGTATTCTAGACTCTGTCGGGCCAATTGGTCCTGTTGATAATAGAAACTGTGGACAACCCGTGCATCCTCCTGTCGTTGCCAGGTAACAACCAAGTTGGAGAGGTCAGGATCAGGTGTGAACTCACAGCCCAGTACAGTTGGATGACCTCGGCTTGCCAGCAGATGTTTATTAGGGACAGTCACCTCAAATGAGGCTGGAAAGAGACAGTGAAAACAATTTAAAGTTGCTTGAAGAAACACCTCATGGCACATTTCTAAGGGGTCATATCGTAAGAAATCATATTTTCCTTCATATTTTGATGTAAAAATATGAAAACATAAACTTTGGACAGCAATAGACAGCAATGGCACAGCAAAAATGTTCACAGTCTCAAGCTCTTCACTGGCAAATATCCTGAGGTGTGACGTGAAAAAATGTATGCATAGCCTATAAGTATGACACAATGACATTGTTGTATATTATAACGTCTTCCGATTTATTTTCATTTAATGTAAGTCTTACCCAAAAGAACGTCGACGACCACGACGCACAAAATGAGCCAAAGCATTGTCGCTTGGAGATCAGGAACATGGTTTAATACAGCAAAAATGTTCACAGTCTCAAGCTCTTCACTGGCAAATATCCTGAGGTGTGACGTGAAAAAAAAAAAAAAAGCTTAATCTGAAGCTTGTAAGAGCCCTAAATATAACTGGCCACAGTAGGACTGTAATCAAGAGATAAAACCTGTTTAATGAACCACAGAAGAATCTTTTACTTCCTTCTACACTAAAACTATATAAAAGACTCTAATAGTAGCAAAATAGACTATAAGTATACTTATATATAGAAGTTCAGTCAATATTTGCCATTCTAAAAAGTGCAGTCTTTCTTTACCTTCTTTCTTTACCCTGTAATTTTCATGGCAGGGACTGAACACATATCAGAAAGCCAAACCCAGTAGAGGAAAAAAAACCCTCACAATGTGTATAAACACCAACACTGAACAGTAATGGTATCACAGAAATCTGCACAATCACAAGCCCTTCACTACCAAACAACCCTGAGTTGAGCTGTGATGTGAAAGCAAAAAAGCTAACAAAAACAAAACACTTTTAAGAGCCCTAAAAGTAACTGATCACTGGTAAAACATCTATAATATTCTGAAATATTTCGTCTTTAAATGTTGCTAGAATAAAACATTTTAGAACATGTAGAACATCAGGACAGCTAGACCAACCACGTTCATCTCTGTCTTAACTCCAATTCAGCTCTGCCTAAATATTTTACTTGATTAGAGCCAGGAGAGGAAAGACATCATTTAATCAAGTAAACATTTTAAGATTCAGTTCAGTTCAGTTCAGTTTTATCTCCCAAGACTAACAGTTTAATTTAGTTAAATAAAGGTCACATTAAAACTGTCTTAGAAACGTTTTACCATCCCTTCATCATTGTGCCAGACCCAGACATTAAATCTTTAACTAAAAATGTGAATAAAAAAGTTAGAGTAGCCTTGATTTACAATGTATGCATAGCCTATAAGTATGACACAATGACATTGTTGTATATTATAACGTCTTCCGATTTATTTTCATTTAATGTAAGTCTTACCCAAAAGAACGTCGACGACCACGACGCACAAAATGAGCCAAAGCATTGTCGCTTGGAGATCAGGAACATGGTTTAAATAACGAAGCAGTTCAGTGCAGCATGATCACATGCCATTCAGAAATGAAACTTATTCATAATATTCTTCACGACTTACGTGATCTGTAATAAAGCCATGGTCAGAAGCTAAAGTAACGGACACGTACAGTATCTGTGTGCTCCGCAAATAGACTAAAGAAGAACTGTACTTGTCTTGAGCGTCCCGCCGTTTCCATTCCTTTCAAGCTAGGACAACTCACACCTACAAGATACGTTGCTCCACCTAAGAGCAGTTAGTACTAGATCTTTTGAAGATTATGAATGCTTTTGTGTTGTCAGTCACATTTAAAAGGGCAAGGCTAAAACAGCAGTATTAACAGGAATTTAGTCTTAAGCTTAAGTCTTACGCTTAATTAAGTTTAAATACATTTTTTATGCGAATGATGAAGAGACTTAACTGACATTTATTAGCAAAATTAGAGACTTCAGACTCCAACAATTCAGAGATTAAAGAAATCTCTAAAACACAGTAATGCAAACTTGCACATTTGCCTTGATTAACATGTATTCATTTAGTAGACACTATCCAAGGCTAGGCTATAGCCTATACACACACACATCAATCGAGGTATTAATTTTTGTAGTATTAATGTAGTATTCATTTAAATAGTATTCATTTTTAAGCGTGTTTGTTTTTCTCTGTACGTGATGGGTATTTTTGATGCAAGCGTTTACAGTGTCATCACACAGAGAAAACAAACCACGAGTTATTGAAACTTTTGTGTCGCAGGCTATACTTTTATATTTAGCCGACTTATTTTTTGAGTAACAATTGGTTTAAGAATAACATTGGCGTTTATTATATTGTGTCATTGTTTTATATAGTAAATTATGGACGCGAGCAGCTGTTATACAGTAATGAATGCATCTGTAGGCTATATCTAAAACAACTTAATTTATAAGTGTCATGTTTGTTATTTTTGTTCATGTACGCTTCTGAACTTTAATACTAAACAGACTCGTGATTTGATCAATTATTGCTTTATTTATTAACATAACGATGTTATGTTAATGACATGCTATGTGTGTATTTACTTTCATTTTGTTACAAGTAGGCCAACAACGCCCCCTAAATAAATGAAAGAGCTCACGGGCATTAGGACCTAGAACAAGGAGGATGTTGCTGCCTGCAGACAGGAACTGAAAGGCTTTTTACATGCTCTCAGGATCCGACAGGTGAAGTCTGCGCTTAGTTATCTTGGTTATCTTACAGCTGTTCAAATTACTTCTGCTTTTTTATATAAATAATTAACTAGTGGACATTTGCACCGATCAGTATGGTTATTCAACAGATTTAGTGAGTGACAGTCAATGACTATCAAAAACTGTTTGGTTAACAGCATTCTTTAAATTATTTTTATTTATTTATTTTTAGAAATGGAACTGGTTCTCGGTTCCAAATCCTACATTAATCACTGGGATTACTTTTCAAATATGATAACAAAAAAAGAGACTTTTAGCTGCCATTTATGTAAACTAAACAGGTATGATCAATAAAAATACCAAACATATTTATTTTATAGATTATATTTGGTGACTGAAAATGAAGCTGGGAACATTGTATACTACAACATATTATCTCCAGTGTTCATCATATGCATGCATTCCTTCATAGGTCACTTCCATCAAGGCTCTTCCTGTTCCCTTTGCGTTGCTCACTATGCACATGTACCAGCCTGCATCCTTGGGTCTAACTGCTGCAATTCTTAGAGAGGCATTTCCTTTATGAAGCTTTGAAACATACAATGAGGTCCGATTGTGGTATTTTAGACTCTGTCGGTTCAATTGGTCCTGTTGATAATAGAAACTGTGGACAACCCGTGCATCCTCCTGTCGTTGCCAGGTAACAACCAAGTTGGAGAGGTCAGGATCAGATGTGAACTCACAGCCCAGTACAGTTGGATGACCTCGGATTGCCAGCAGATGTTTATTAGGGACAGTCACCTCAAATGAGGCTGGAAAGAGAAGAAACTTGAAGAAACACCCCTGGGCACTCCAAAAATTTACACTTCTAAGGTGTCATCATATCATAAGAAATTTTTGTTTTCTTCATACTTTGGTCTACCATTAAAACACCAACACTGAACAGCAATGGTACCACAAAAATCTGCACAATCACAAGCCCTTCACTACCAAACAACCCTGAGCTGTGATATAAAAGCAAAAACATAAAAAAAACTTTTAAGAGCCCTAAAAGTAACCGTTCACTGGTAAAACATCTATAATATTATGAAATAGTATTTCATCTTTAAATATTGCTTGAAAAATATTTTAGAAAGATGTTTTTTTGTAGCTAGATGTCATCATTTTGAATCATGACATCTCTGCAGTGTTGTATCAACAATGACTCAGCAACCATTGGCATGCATTTGAGGTGCTTTCCTGATAATGTTGTTTAAAATGCATATTTTATTTCATTTTATAGTACAACCGTAAGTTGTAAAGGAAAAAAGCTGAATTAAAGTTCAAGAGATCAAGACAGTCTAGTATAACAAACCTTCAAAATTTAAAAGTATGACACTGTATATCACCAAGGTTGTATCGAATCAGAAGTGTTTATTATAATGCTTTGTGATTTCTTTTCATTAAATCTTACATTCAATCTTTAACTAAAAATGTATATTATTATGTTAAAACTATGAAAACAAAAAGAAAACAGGAAATATCCCAATATTCATTGAATACATCTGATTTCCCACTTTTTTACATTACTTTAATTATGTTTAAAATTAAAAATATCCCACGGTTGTGGTGCATTTCCAACATAAAAAATCCTCTGTGTCTCTAAATGTTTTTTTTTTACAAGTTAGTGTAACCTACTTGATTTCCAAGGTATGCATACAAGTATGACACAATGACAGTGTTGTATATTATAACGCCATTCGATTTCTTTTCATTAAATGTAAGTCTTACCCACAAGAACATCCAAAATGCACAAAAGGAGCCAAAGCATTGTCGCTTGGAGTTCAGGAACATGGTTTAAATAACGAAGCAGTTCAGTGCAGCGTTGATGATCACATGTCAGTCATAAATAAAACTTACTCATCAATCTTCCTCAATCTTATTCTTCATGAGTTGCGTGATCTGTAATAAAGCCATGGTCAGAAGCTAAAGTACACGTACAGTTTCTGTGTGCTCCGCAAGAAAACAAGGACTGTACTTGACTGTCCCGCTTCCATTCCTTTCAAGTTAGGACAACCCACACCAAGATACGTTGCCCAACCTGATCAAAAGTACAAAGAGCACTACTCAGATGAATGCTTTTGAGGAGTCACTATTTACAACGGCAAGCTTAAACAGAAGTTTTGATAAGAATTAAATCTTAAGCTTTTGTATAAATGAAATTTTATGCAAATAACGAAGACACTTATACTTGACTGACAATTATTCCTCAGAGACTTCAGACTCCAACAATTCAGAATGCAGATTAAAGACATCTGTAAAACACAGTAATGGAAATTTGCCATTTGCACTGATTGACATGTAGGCTATTCATTTTGTAGACACTTCTGTCCAATTACAAATTAAAAATAACGTTAGAAGTACCAAAATCATGCATATGCTATACATATATTAATGATTCACTCCGCAAGTGGACAAAGAGCATCCCGCATATATATATATATATATCTTGCCAATATATTTGCCAAAAGTCAAAATTGGTGTAGAGTCTTTTATTGTTTAAAACCACCAATAAACACTGCTTGGGGGTGTTAAGAAGCTTCTGTCAGCTCTCTGCTGCAATCTTGGCCCATTCCTCGCCTGAAAAGCTTTCAGATCACTGATAATCTTTGGCTTTCACATTGCCACTGCTTTCTTCAAATTCAACAAAATATTTTCAATGAGAATTAAATCTGGAGACTTAACAGGCCACTCAAGAAGATTCTACGACCGATCCCTGAACCAAGCATAAGCAGATTTGGATGTATACTTTGGGATGATTGTCCTGCAGGAAAGTCCATTGATCATCATCTTCAGTCTTTGCACCAAAGGCATCACAATTCTTGCCAAAATGGCCTGTTACTTCAAAGAATCCATGATGTCCTTCATACAGTCAACATTTCCACATCCTGCAAGAGTAAAACACCCCCATAACAAGACGGAGATGGTGTTCTTCTGCTCATTAGCTTTGCATTTTTTGGACCAGACATACGCTGATTCATTTCAAATTCAACAAAATATTTTCAATGAGAATTAAATCTGGAGACTTAACAGGCCACTCAAGAAGATTCTACGACCGATCCCTGAACCAAGCATAAGCAGATTTGGATGTATACTTTGGGATGATTGTCCTGCAGGAAAGTCCATTGATCATCATCTTCAGTCTTTGCACCAAAGGCATCACAATTCTTGCCAAAATGGCCTGTTACTTCAAAGAATCCATGATGTCCTTCATACAGTCAACATTTCCACATCCTGCAAGAGTAAAACACCCCCATAACAAGACGGAGATGGTGTTCTTCTGCTCATTAGCTTTGCATTTTTTGGACCAGACATACGCTGATTCATGGGTCTAAAAAGTTCTAGTTGGGTCACATCACTCCATAAAACATTTGTCCAGAACTCCACAGGAACTCCAAATGAATTTTAGCATGTTCAAGTCGGCCTTTTATGTTTTCTTGGTCAAGAGGCATTCAGCAAGATGCCCCAACACGAAGGCCATACTTGCCTTGTGTTCTTCTTATACTCTACATTGAAATGTTTTTCCTCCTTTCATCGGGTCATCTTTGAAGTCCATCTTTTCAAGTTGATGTTTTCCTCAGTTGCTGTGATCAAAAATTTTATGATATTGTGCTTTTTCTTCAACACCCTCAAATGTTTTTTTTTTGGTACAATGCATTTTAAGCTAAGGAATAAGGCTACCAGCTGTGTCTCTAGGAATTTTAATGACTTGGAAATCTTCATGCAGCCTAATGAAACTAATTAAAAAAAGTAAAAACTAATGTAATAAAACTATTTCTTCACTTCAGCTTCTCTATAGCTTTTGTGAGAGCTCTGTTAACTTGTCATATTTGCTACTCAACTTCAGCACATGCATGGACTAATTGTATGTATGTGTAACAGCTCAAGCTAATTCTATTTTCTAACAGATTTTCTAAATGTTTAATTGTGTTGTTCCCCAACATACAAATAAGTGACTAAAAAGAGCAATGTTGAATAGGAGTTAAATAATTATGATATAGCTGTATTATTAAAGAATCTTATAACTCAAAGATATTCCATTATATATTGACATTTTCTCTTTGAATATGCCAGTATTATGATATTGTGCGTTTTCTTCAACACCCTCAAATGTTTTTTTTTGGTACAATGCATTTTAAGCTAAGGAATAAGGCTACCAGCTGTGTCTCTAGGAATTTTAATGACTTGGAAATCTTCATGCAGCCTAATGAAACTAATTAAAAAAAGTTAAAACTAATGTAATAAAACTATTTCTTCACTTCAGCTTCTCTATAGCTTTTGTGAGAGCTCTGTTAACTTGTCATATTTGCTACTCAACTTCGGCACATGCATGGACTAATTGTATGTATGTGTAACAGCTCAAGCTAATTCTATTTTCTAATAGATTTTCTAAATGTTTAATTGTGTTGTTCCCCAACATACAAATAAGTGACTAAAAAGAGCAATGTTGAATAGGAGTTAAATAATTATGATATAGCTGTATTATTAAAGAATCTTATAACTCAAAGATATTCCATTATATATTGACATTTTCTCTTTGAATATGCCAGTAAAGTGTTATGCATTTTTTTTTATAAAGTGTATTTGTAAACTACTGCAGTCTCTGGGGGTTGAATAATTGTGATAACAACTACATACATCCATCCGTTTCCGTAGCCTACTATATAGTCCTAATTATTACATTTTAATGTTGAACTATGCACATGATGGATCTTCTTGCTGAACTGTATTGAACACAAAGTTGCTTGCTACGTCTACATGTTACGTCAGTGTGACCACTGACCAGTGCGTTTCCGAACATGTCATCACACAGGGAAAACTAGCAATCAATTACTACTCTTTTGTATATTTTGCGTCGTATACTTTTATATTTACATATTTCTGCGTTACAACTGCTTTAAAAAGAACGGAAACGTTTATAATATGGTGTCATTGTCTCTTACTGTATATTATAATGGAGGCGAGCAATATTGTTACCCCCCTCCGCACTCACATTGGTATGAGCCGTATCGCACGCTGACTGGAAACATGTGGCTGTGTTTTTACCGGCTTGTCATGTAGAGAAATATATCACGGCTTTTGATTAATAAATCAGTGATACAGTCTGCAAAACGACTGAGAAGCAAGAATACACAGTTGTTACTTCGACAGACACGAACTGAAAGGCCTTTTATGGGCTCTCTGGATCAGACAGGTGAAGCCTGCGCCTGGTTATCTTCCAACTGTTTGAGGTAGGCAGGCTAACGTTACTTATTTTTAACCTTAATGATTAAACTAGTCGACATCTGCACAGATCGGTACAGTTATTAAACAGATTTTGGGGAATTCAGATTTGCTTGTCAAGTAGACGATTGCCACGTTGATGATTGCATGACAGTGATTACTTTGACTCTCAAGGATGGTGTTTAGAGGTTCTGATATGTTTGATTTTGGGTCCTGTGCGTTTAAATCGGTACCGAGTGTGTCAGAATGCAACGTGGGCTTGTTAGAGGCGCAGTTCGCTTTGTGTCCTCATAGCGGCGTTGCTTTGCTGCTTTTACCAGCTGCTACATATATAATGAAGCATCTTCCTCCATGCTTCACTGTGGTAGAGATGTATTCATTTTTGTATTTCTCACCAGATCTTCAAAGACACCGCTCTGGTGCATATCCCTTTCTATCACGATTCATCACTCCACACAACTTTGCTGAATCACTCAGAATCAAACTTCGCATATTCTGCCAAAAATGTCATTCTGTCTTTGATGTTTTTCTGAGACAGCAATGGCTTTTTAAGGAGTGCATTTGCTTAATTCTTAAAACTAAGCGTGTAGCAGTTTTGGCCTTGGCCCTTCCCCCCACAATTGTTGGTTCATGTTAACTAATGTAGTCAACTAATATTAAGAAAAGAAACCTTATTGTGAAGTGTTACCAAATTGATAATAAAAAAGTGATTTGGTGTTTTATTTTTGTTTAAATGAAATTACTTATTACTAGTGATGGGAAGTTCGGATCATTTTACCGACTCGGACCTTTGAGTTTCGTTCAGCAAAATGAACGAATCTTTTTTTCGAGTCATTTCGTTCTTTTTGTTCATTTTAGCAAAATATAATTAAAATGTTACATGTTACTTCCCTAACACGTCTTCTACTAATACAAATGTTGATCACACTACAAACAATACAAAACTGCTATAAGAAACAGAAAAGATGAATTCATTGTTTACCTGGGTCTTCAGTCTATAGCATTTTGTTCAATGTTTGAGGAGCTGCAGCGTACCTACAGCAGGCATCTATTAGAGAAAAAAAGGAGGAGGATATTAAAAACAAAGTTTATCCGTTTTTACCGAGGCGAATTAAGGTAAGTTGTAAACACCACATCTGCGCTTGTGTGTACGTTACATCTGCCGGCGCCGGCATTTTTCAAATTAACAACGGTTGTTCAAGGCGCCTCAAAGAATTGTGGGTTATCTGTAGCAGCGAAGGATACACCTCATGCATCCTCCGAATTCCTGTGAAAGAAGGTCGCATTCGGAGTGTCCTACTTGCTTTTCTGAAATGAGACAGCCTCGATGACGTATGCAGCCTTCGAATGCGACCTCCGGAGGACGCAGCCTTCTAAATGAGACACAGCTTATGAATAGCTCACCTCACCTCTTATCTTCTTCTGGTGTTTTATGGCGGTTTGGCAAACCAGCGAAAAAGGTGCATTAACGCCACCTACTGATCTGGAGTGTGGAGTGTGCATAAATTTGGAAGAAAGAAATACAGAAGGGAAAAGAGAGGGAGAAAACCATCCGTTCCATAAGTTTGCATAAATTTGATGTCAGCGCAATAGGTCTATAATTAATTGGCTGAGAAGTGTCTTTTCCTGGTTTGGCTATTGGCACTATGACCCCATGCTTCCAATCTTCTGGCAAATTCCCTGTCTCCCATATTTTGTTAAAAAGTCTTAAAATCATACTTAATGATAATTCTGATAAGTGCTTTATCATCTCATAGCATATGTCATCCATGCCTGGAGAAGTATGTTTGACCCCTGCAAGCGCTCTCTTTAACTCATACAAAGTTAATTCTGAGTCTAACATACTTCCTGATGGATTCTTCTTTACATAAATGTGAGCATTCTCCCTAACTTTCTGTTCCCTATATCTCCTCATATTATCTGAGATATTACCATTACTGTGCACCTTTACAAATGCTTCCACTAACATCTCTGCTTTGTCACTGTCTATTGTTGTCTATTGTCTATTGTCACTGCTTTGTTATTGCTATTTTTCCATTATTTACTAAAACTGGAATGTTGTTATTTCTCTGAATCCCTCCCATCTTCCTATCCATTTCCGGATCACTTCCGGAATCTACGCCACTTCCTACCATGCACTTTCCAGTCACAGATCAGCTGTTGCCAAACCGCCCGCCTCCTGGAGCTCACCTCTTATCTGACACGTCTTCGGGTTTGAGTCGTTCGTTCTTCTTCTTCTTCTTCTTCTTAATGTTTAACGGCGGTTGGCATCCAGCGTAATTGGTGCATTACCGCCACCATCTGCTCCGGAGTGTGGATCAGACAACAGGTTCACAGACTAATTCACCCAATTCCCTCCTTCTCCC